TGATTTAAGAGAGCAGCCCCACGAGGGCAAAGAAAATTGTGTTGGAAAAGCCACCATATGGCATGACTCAACAACTCAAACCTTTGTACATCAAGGTGCTAGTAGAAGGAAGGCCTTTGGCAAGAGTTTCGGAGGACAATGGTTCGGTGTTGAATGTTGTTCCAATCAATGTTATGCGCATGCTCGGAAAGTCTCCTGAATATATCATTCTAACTGATGTGTCCATTAGTGGATTCACGGGAGGAATAGTGAAGACGTAAGGAATCCTACCGTTGGAGTTAACGGTGGGAGATAGAACTTTCATCACAGCCTTCTTTGTTATTGAGTCCACAGCGACTTATAATTTGCTCTTAGGACGCAAATGGATTCACCCAAATTTTTGCATTCCATCTTTGCTCCATCAAATGCTAATATTTTGGGATGGAGATGAGGTAAAAGTGGTGGAAGCTGATAGCCGGCCATTTGTGGTAAGGGTTTACCATGCAGATGCTAAGTTGTATAGTTAAGAATTCGTTCCAATCAGATTTATTGGAAAGGATAGCAAGGGCCGTCCAAGGATGGCCACCATGAGAAGGACTCTTACGGAAGATGTAAGGGAGCTTTTCCAAGAAACACCAAGGCTAACAATTTTACCCAAGGCCGGTGTTCAGCAATACATTTCAAATAAAAGTTTTTATGGAAGAGAAACTTAAAAAAAATAGAATACTTGGCCAGGCGGTTAACTGCTGCCTTGCCAGGTTGAAAGCATATCTAGGCGAACTATGGTTGGAAAGGGCTGTTGTTGCTGGTACTTCATTTTCAACCAATGTTTTGGAGATTATGGAAGATGCTGAAGACAAGTTGGATGTTATCCAACTGTTGGACTTGAAGGCAGCACCAGTAAGCTTTTGGAACCAATCTTTAGAGATGAATTAATTTCTTTACTTGAAGAATACAAAAATTACTTTGTATGGACATATGAGGAAATGCCAGGACTTTCCAGAGAGCTTGTAGAGCATAAGTTGCCAATTAAGGAAGGTTTCAAGCCTTTCAAGCAGCCTCCAAGGAGGATGTCCCAGGAAGTTGTTCTAAAGGTCAAAGAAGAGATAGAAAGATTACACAAGGCTAGTTTTATAAGAACCGCCAGGTATGTTGACTGGATTTCCAATATAGTTCCAGTTATTAAGAAAAATGGCAAACTAAGGCTATGTGTAGATTTCCGGAATATAAAATCTTGCAACTCCGAAAGATGAGTATCCCATGCCTGTTGCTGATCAGTTAGTAGATTTTGCTACCAAGAATGAAATTCTTTCATTCATGGATGGACATTCAGGGTACAACCAGATTTACATTGCAGAGGAAGATATTGCCAAGACAGCCTTCAAATGTCTAGGTTCCATTGGAACCTTTGAATGGGTTGTCATACCATTTGGGTTGAAGAATGCTGGAGCAACATATCAAAGAGCTATGACCATATTCCATGACATGATTGGCCATTTCTTGGAGGTCTACATTGATGATGTGGTCATCAAGTCCTCAGCTAAAGATCAACATCTCCACAATTTGAAAATGGCTTTTGAAAGGATGAGGCAGCACAGGTTAAAGATGAATCCTTTGAAATGTGCTTTTGGGGTTTCAGCTAGAAATTTCCTAGGTTTCCTGGTCCACCAAAGGGGTATTGAGATAGATCAAAATAAAGCAAAGGCAATTATTGAAGTAAAGCAACCGGCCACTAAGAAAGAGTTACAGCGATTCCTCGGCCAGGTTGGAAATTTAAGGAGGTTCATTGCCAACCATGCTGGAAAGACTTATGCTTTCTCCCCTTTGTTGAAATTAAAGGGTGCCGAGGAATTCAAGTGGACAGAATAGCACTAGCAAGCCTTTGAAGGTTTGAAAAGCTACCTGGCCAACCCTCCAGTGCTGATGCCTCTAATCAAGAAGTTGTCTTTAAGATTATACTTATCGGCCGTCGACGAGTCCATTGGAACTCTATTAGCTCAGAATAATGAATGGGGGAAAGAGAAAGCCATCTATTATCTAAGTAGGGTGCTCACTCCAGTAGAATGTAGGTATACTTCTATTAAAAAGTTATGTCTTTCCTTATACTATGCGGCTATGAAGTTGAGAACCTATATGTTGCCAGTGGCCGTATATATCATTTCTCAAATAGATTTGATTAAGTATATGCTTTCAAGGCCTTTGATCACTAGACGTATTAGAAAGTGGTCATTGGCCTTAATGGAGTTTTCCTTCAAGTATATTCCACAAAGGGCAGTTAAAGGAAGGGCGGTAGCAGAATTTCTAACAGATCATCCATCTACTAAAATAGATTCAGAAATATATGATGAGGTGGATAATCTCTACCTTGACGATACACCTTGGACTCTCATGTTTGATGGATCAAGCACTCATGATGGAGGTGGAGCTGGAATAGTCATCATTTCTCCGAGAGGAAGGAAAACCAAATTTTCTTTCTTCTTGGATTTCAAGTGTACAAACAACCAAGCTGAGTACGAGGCACTAATTATTGGGCTGGAGATTCTGCTAGAGCTAAAGGTGGAGAAGGTCCAGATTATTGGAGATTCCAACTTGATACTTAGCCAATTATCCGAAGAATATAGGTGTCTTAACTGGCGTCTGAGGCCTTTCCACTCTTTAGCCTTAGAGTTACTTTGCCAGTTTGATGATTTCCAACTCAAATATTGGCCTAGACATTTAAATACGGAGGCTAATGATCTAGCACAATTAGCCTCTCGAGTGAAAGTCCCACCGGGTGAGGAAGAAGCTCTGATCACAGTTAAAAGAAGAACTCTTCCTTCGGTAGAGTTACGGCATGAGATGGCAAGTCATTTCCAATCTGAAGAGCCAGAAAGAGTCAAACCTACCAATAAGCCATGGGAGGTTTTCAATATTGATATAGATGGATTAGATTTGGATGATTGTAGAACACCAATTATCCAATTCCTACAAGAGCCTAGCTCCAAAGTGGACAAGAGAATTTAGCTTTTGGCGCCACATTACATTCTGATTGATGGGGACCTCTACAAGAAGAGTAAAGAAGATGGACTTTTGTTAAGATGCCTTGGAAAGGATGAATCCATGAGGGTAATAGCGGAAACACACCTTGGAATATGCAGAGCACATCAAGTTGGAATCAAGATGAGGTGGCTCCTTAGAAGGTATGGTTATTATTGGAAAGGCATATTGAAAGATTGCATAGAGTTTGCCAAGACTTGTACTGCATGTCAAGAATATAGCCCGATCCAAAGAGTTCCAGCTATTAATATGTAGCCGATAGTAAAAATATGGCCGTTTAGAGGGTGGGCTTTGGACTTTATTAGAAAGCTAAGGCCTCCATCTTCAGATGGCCATACTCACATAGTGGTGGCAATAAATTATTTCACAAAGTGGGTGGAAGCCATTCCACTAAAGACTTGTGAGCAGTCAACGGTGATTGATTTTATCAAGAAGCACATTATACATAGGTTTGGAATTCCAGAGACTATCACCACTGACAGAGGTCTTTCCTTTGTTGGAGGCAAGGTCTTGGATTATTATGCTGAGTGTGGTGTACAAGTGATCAGTTCCACTCCATATTTTGCCCAGGCAAATGGACAGGCAGAAGCTTCCAACAAAGTAATTCTCAACATCATTGAAAAGATGATTGAGGATCATCCAAGGGAGTGGCATCACTTGCTTTCTGAAGCTCTTTGGGCCTACAGAAATTCAAAAAGGTCAAGTACAGGCATCACACCATATGTGCTTACGTATGGACATGATGTTGTCCTTCTAATGGAGATGACAATCAGGTCTGCAAGGGTGGCTTTCCAAAATAGGCTAACTCCAGCAGATTACAACCATGCCATGTTAGTGGAATTAGAAGACCTTGATGAAGTTCGTCTCAATGCTCTAGATCATATTATTGCTCAAAAGAAGAAAGTCATGCGGGCATACAACAAGAAGGTCAAGGTGAAGACATTTGTAGAAGGAGACTTGGTATGGCAGGTCAAATTTCCACCTGGAGTTAAAAGTTTGGAGTATGGAAAATGGACTCCTAATTGGGAAGGTCCTTATTTGGTAGAATGAATCCTTGGAAAAGGGGCTTATAAATTGATGGATATAGATGGAGGGTCTCATAAGCATCCTATGAATGGTGTGTACTTGAAAGAGTACCACCCTTCCATCTATGAAAATTAGAAATCCACAATCATTCAACCAGCCATGTAGAATGGCTGGTATCTTCTTTTCCAAGTAAACCAGAAAGTTGGAAAGGAAGTGTAATGGCCATTCGGCCATTCCAAGAAGGAAAAGCTAAGTACTTGGAAAAGTACATTGGCTAAAGTTATGAAGCGGACTTAGCTGAATTTCTAATATCAGCTGATTTCCTAAGTATGGAAGACTTCATTGAGGAACTGGCTATGCTACGTGTTCCAGGTTTTGATCATACTGGAAATTGTTCATCTTGCTTGTGTATACATGCATTTCCATTATGGCAATTTCTTTTATTTCTTTGAATTTCCTCTGTTATGAACAGCCAATTATATGGCTATGCCTTATTGTAAATATATGTGAAGAAGTTTTCCAGTTTCAGTGACTTAGAAGTTTCTTTTCTGTATAAATTGTGAAAGAGTCACATGCAAAGGGTTTGGAAATAGAGCGTTATCTCATTAGATACTGGATTTCATTACAAAACTCAAAAATGGCCTCCTAAACCTTGGATTAGCCATGCAAAAGTACCCATTACTTATTTCCTATCCACAAGTTTCCCAAAAACAACCACACGATAGAACCATAAAGAGAAACACGTGAGATCAGATATAGGCAAGAACACCTCCAAGTTCATTCCAAATTTTCCTTACTTCTTCAAGAACAGCCACTGCTCTAACCCTTACATCCTTAAATTTAGAAAAGGCATCAACTCGCTTTTCCCATTCTTTCCTTAAAAGTTCGGACGCATTGACAAGGGCATTAGCTGTTTGGTCCAATTCAAGTTCTTCACGTTCCACTTATTCCAATTCCCTTTAAACTTTGGCCAGTTCTTCATTCAGTTCTTCTTTCTTGATCATAAGCTTTTCAGCCCGATCCTTGATTTCTGGGTAGGATTCTAAGGAGAGTTGAAAATCCTCAAGAGCTTTCTCTCTGAGCTTGGCTTCCTTTTCATACTTGGAAACTATAGAAGTACTGGAGCTCACATGGGCAACAATGAATTGGAGTTGGTGTTGCAGCTTGGTCAAAGAAGCCTGGATGGAATCAGGAAATTCTGAATGTTTTTTGAGGGTCACAATAGTACTGGCTAGACTTAAGTGGAAAGAGACTACATCCTCCACATCGTGGGCAAGATAAGATAGCAACTTTTCTTTAGCCACCATGATAGTATCATTTGAAGGTCCTGGAAGTGTGAGGACACTTACACTTGAAGTAGAAGTACTGGAAGATTTAGTGACCTTGATCACTTTGTAAAGATCAGCTAAGGCTGGAAGGGCTCTCCTCTGCATCATAAAGGAGGTTGAGGTAGATAAGGAAGGCGTTGCCTGAAATGGAAACAAGTTTCTATTAGATAAAAAGAAAGAAAAGAGATGAAGTGTAAAGGAATGAAGACTTGCCTTTGGGATGGAAGGAGTATGACCAGTAGAAGTTCCACCAGTTCCGGAAGGAATGGATATTCCAATAGTGGAAGTTGGAATGGGCTGACTTTTCTCATTCTTTATGGTCAAACTTTCCATAATTGAAGCTTGAAGGGCCAAATCCTCTCCTTGTGTAACTTATTGATCTAGGTGGATATTCATGAAATTGTGTCCCATAGTAAAGCCTTATTGGTCAAGTTGAAGTTACAAACATTTTAAAATATAAAGTAACGAGATAGAGAAGGATAGGGATTGAGACTTACCAAAACAAGCTCTTTGGATGACTTTGGTTTCTTGTGTTTTGGGGAGTCTCCGGTTTGTTTGTACTCTTCTGTTTTTTCCAGTTCAGGCATGATTTTCCTTTTAGCCTTTCTAATAACTTTTTCGGAAGGGCTACGCATTTTTAGGGCTTTGCTGGAATGTTGAGTAGTGGTTCGCCCTTTGGAAAGGCCAACTTCACCATCAGAAGAATCTTCATTAGAAGAGGACAGTTGGGCCTGAAATTCTTTTTTGACAATGGCCAGTCCCTGCAAGAGGAAGTATAAGTAAGGTCTAGAATATGGAACGGTTAAGTTCGGCCATATTGAAATACCTGAGAAGTTTTTCCTTTTCCCTTTGCCTTGTATAAAGCATCCTCCTCTTCCTCTTCCACTTCTTCTTCCTCTTCTTCATCATCACTTGAGGAAAAACTTTCAATATCTACATCGCCACTTTCGGCTACACCTTCAATTTTACTAGCCATTGTGGTGGTTTTCTCTCCACCTTCTTCCTCTTCACTTTCTTCGAGTATTTCCTCTTCTTCATCTTAAATTAACCAAGTCTCAGCATATGGAAGGTTGATGGATTTCAAAAGGGAATGGAATTTACAGTAAATACATTAATACCTGGAGACAGAGGCTTGAAAGATGCCAGTATGGAATCACAGACAACCTTATGATTCTTGGTTCAGGTGGAAGAGATATAAGTTGACCACCATACATCGAATTCATTGGTTGATTGAGGCTTGTTAGTATGGCCTTTGAAATTAAAAGCTATTCTTTCTGCTGCGTTGGCTTGGTCAATCGCTGTAAATTGTTCAATATCTGTAAGACGAACACGTTGGTCAAAGAATCTATTGTAAGATTTGCAGGGTGGCAAATGAATCATTTGGATAAAGCCCATTTGCCTTGCTGGTTGGGCTGGGTTGTAGAACTCAACTCCACAGAAACTATTCTTCAAAGTTGGTTGAGCAGTGCTATAATGGAGGTCACGAGCAATAAGGAAGCTGGCCCAAATATTTTTCCAATCTTTAGAATGTTTCTTGGTGGATACCCCGGGAGATGGAACCAACCATGATGGCATGCGACCAATGGCAGTGAATAGATTAAAGAACTCATCGTTTCCAGTCTCACATTGATTGTAGAAATATTCAAAGTTTTCAGCAAAGCTGAAAGGAGAGGGATCTGCGGTTGCCAAACAATGGCACAGAAGAGATTTTCCAGTTGGAGTGGCTAGGGGTGAAGTTCTGTTTTGGAAGTACACTTTAAGCCACATTTGGAATAACCAGAAGGGGCCTTGGAACCTTGAAAACTTGGAAGTAAGGAGATCGTGAAGACCTCTGTATAAATGAGAAAGTACAAGGGGAGCTAATGCTAAGTCTCCATTTCTGGCTAGGGAAACCGCCACTTGCACAAAGTCTTTTATGACTTGGCCAGATAGAACGCATAGCAAGTGGCCAGAAAGCCAACAAATCAGGAAAACAATGTGCTCATCTTCTAGAACTGGGCCAGTTTGCTTACAATGTTTAATAAAAGGGAGATGGGAGGAGATAAACTTCTTACTTCCAGTGGTCTTGGTTGGAAAGAGGAATTGTTCAACAAAAAGAGTGGCACTTACGTCATCTCCATGAGGCTTAAGACCTATGATGCAACAAATATCTCTCAAAGTGGGAGACATCATTCCACATTTAAGATGCATAGAATTGGTGGTTGAAGACCAAAAAAAAAGGGCTAGAAAGAGGAGGGTCGGATCAAGTGTTATGGAGGACTTACTGATTTGGATAATGTCGTAGATGCCCTGTTTCTTCCACTGTGAAGAAATTTTCTCGTCCTTGGAAAGACAATTCACCCATGAAGACCAGGATGAACGATATATTGGCCAGTTTCTTATGCTGAATGAGGGTTTTACTTTTTTCCCTTTCTTTGAAATAGGAGGGAACTCTGAATCGAAAGGAAGTGGAGACTTACTAGAAGGGTAGAATTCAGCTAATTCAGAGGGGGCCACATTGGCAAAAGCTGGACCCAATCCAACTGAGTCATCTTTGAAGTGGATCAGAGTTTTAAGATGAAGCCTAGCAGGGTTTAGAGACTTCAAGAGTACTTGAACTTGGTGACTTTGGCTTCAAATTTTGGTTTTGGTTTGAATAGAAGGAGCTGGCAGGGATGAGCTAGTAGTTGGTTTGGAAGGTTTCTTGAGAGCCATGGTCTGTAATTGTTTCGTGGGTAGAGATGTCCTTTAGGGTTTCAGAAGGAGGAAAGATGATAGAAGGAGAGTTGGTGGCAAACGATAAGGATGGAGGGAATACATATATAGAAACGATAATGAATGAAGTAAAGGCTGAGGGCGTTTTCCAAGGATGGGTGATTGATTTTCAAAATTCAAAAGGAAGTCTTAAAAGGTTTTGGAAGCTGGATGGTGTAATAAATGGATGAGAGGTTTATTGGGAGACGGAATGTGCTTGGCGGCTGGAAAGATTAACATGGTAGAATCAAGAGACCAGCCAAATAACACGTAGAAGATTTTATTCGTTTATGGTGAAATCTTTCAAAGTTCAAGGACGCCTTTTCAGGAGGGGTAGTTAGAGGAGGACTTTCAAAAGGAAAAGGAAATAATAAGGATTGAGAAGGTTGAAGGCTCTATGCCATAAATGGTTAGGATCTCCTTGAAGATACGAAAATCAGTGATTGGAGAGGATGTTCTCAGAAAATACATGGGGAGCAGCCATGTGTTTCCTTTTAATGATTGTCTTGAGTGTTCAAAAAACCTAAGGGTGCTATTGGAAGGGTTTCAGTTGGAATTTTGAAATTCAAAAAAGGAAAGTAAAGAGATTTTTATAGGAAGTAGCGAATAGGTCTTTTAGGGGCACACGACATCTAAGAGATTGGTGATAAAAGGAAATTATTATGATGGAAGCCAAGAAATTAGTTGTGGTTAGGGTTAGAAAATCAAGCGACCATGATGGTATTCTGATGGCGGAAATCAAACCCAACGCCTTATTTTCAAGTTGTTCTACAAGGCATGGAATTTGGGGGGCATATGTTTATTCCATTATTTTACCCAATGGAAAAGAGACAAGTGGCGAGTTTTGACAAAGCTTACCATATTGATTTAATGTTCTAATTGTCCAAGGAAAAGAGGGTGTGACATGGAATTGTTAATGTGGTTCCTTAAATAGAAAAGAGGTGCGTGGCAAGTTCCAATGGAACTTGCCATGTTAGACTACAATATTGACAAATATTCCACCTTGGAATATTTAAATTATGGGAAATAAAAAGACAAGTGGCGAGTCCCTTTAGGACTTACCAAATTTGGGATATAATGTCCTAAAAGGAAAAGAAAATGGCGTGGAGTTATTATCATGAGTACAATCTCATAAGAAGGCTAAAGTCAGCCAACCAATAATTTATCGACACATTGCGATCTTTATTAAACTTGCCACGATGGATTAATTTTGTTAAAGTTGAATTTATTTGGAAGATCCTATTTTAGTAGGATACCAATTAGATGGGTATTTTCCATTTAAATAAAAGTTGACTAAGTTATGGGGACGTGGAGGCAACCTTCTCCTTATTTTTAGGAGATTTCAACAATGGTTCAGCTAAGTCAACTTCTGTTGCTAAAATTTAGCAAGACGTGGGATTTAATTTATTTCCTTATATAAATATATATATATATATATATTAGGCTTAAACCCACGATGAAGGAATCACCGTAAAAAGGGAGTCCATGAAGCCATGAGGTCTAAATCCAGAGGAAGTCAAGGTTGAAGAGAAGTTGTTAAAATTAAGGAAGAAAGCAACAACCATAACCCACGATGTAAACTCGGTGACCATGACACCATGGAAGGTTCAGCCTAAAATCAAGGAAACCGTGGTCTACAGAAGAAAGGGAGGTAAGTTGGAGAAATATAAGTGTGTACAAATATACTCTGGGAAACTACCCACGATGGAGGAGTTGCTAAAATTAAGGAGGTCATGGCACCATGAACTCCAAACTTCAGAAGGAAAGTCTCAAGATGGAAGTTATGCACGATGAGGAGTTTTATCAAAAGTCAGAAACCACGACGCCATGAAAGGAAGGTTCTAGCAGAAGTGAAGACTACTACAAAATCGTGGGACACCTGGCTAAACGAGAGTACATCGGTTGAAAGTGGTAGAAACCTATAAGGAAACTACCACTAACCAAGGAAAGTTATCAAGGGTCATGGGTGACAGGGCAACAGTTGGTGAAATTGTGTCTGAAGTTAAGGAAAGGAGTTGACGATATGAGGAAGAAGAACAAAATCGTGGGACACTTGCCAAGTCACGAAGAGAACAAGTGGCAATTCATTCTGAAACTACCCATAACACAAATTCGTTGAAAACTAGAGAGGACGTGGTTGAAGTTTACAATAGAAGATGGATAAGACGGAAGAAGTTACAACCGTTGAAGAATCATGGGACATGTGGCAGTCCAGAACCATTCCACGTGGAAGCTATTGAAGTTGCCACACCTAGTTAATGCATGCATGGAGAGCTCTATAAATAGAATACTTAGGCTTTACTTGCAAACCCTGTTCAAATCACACAGCAAAATAGCACTTCAATATCTTTACATTCATGTATCTTTACATTTATGTAATGCAATTTCATTATGTTTAATTTAAGTCTTGCACTTATCTTTCTTACTTTCCAAGTCCTGCACTTCAATTCCTTTACTTTGAAGTCCTTCACTTTCAATACCGCTTTCTTTTCCACTAGCCATAGTTCAGTCCGAAAGTCCTTTTTCAAGACAAAAAGAACCCTTGAAGGTGGTAATTCCAGTCCTTCATTCAATCGCCTGATCCCTATAATTTCCTACTGGATAGTTGTTTAGATACTCACTTTGGAACAACAGTAGTTCCTGGCACGCCCGACATCCACTCCTACTTTCCACTCACCTGGAAAGTGGAACTAGCGCTTTTCCGCGAGCCGAACAGTAAGCTTTTGGAACTAACCTTTAGAGAAGAATTGATTTCCTTACTTGAAGAATACAAAGATTGCTTTGCATGGACCTATGAGGAAATGCCAGGTCTTTCCAGAAGTTGGTAGAGCATAAGTTGCCAATTAAGGAAGGTTTCAAGCCTTTCAAGCAGCCTCCAAAAACGATGTCCCAAGAAGTTGTTCTAAAGGTCAAAGAAGAGATAGAAAGGCTCCATAGGGCTGGTTTTATAAGAACCACCAGGTTTGTTGACTGGATTTCCAATATAGTTCCAGTTGTTAAGAAAAATGGCAAGCTAAGCGTATTTGTGGATTTCCGAAATATCTTGTTAAGAAAAATGGCAAGCTAAGGGTATTTGTGGATTTCCGAAATATCAATCTTGTAACTCCAAAAGATGAGTATCCCATGCCTATAGCTGACCAGTTAGTAGATTCTGCTGCCAAGAATGAAATTCTTTCATTCATGGATGGACATTCCGGGTACAACCAGATTTACATTGCAAATGAAGATATTGCCAAGACAGCC